TGATCATCCTTCACAACCACTGCTGCTTTCACTGATGGTGCTTCCTCTTGTCCCCTCAGGGCCTACCCATCTCCATGTACGGCGGCACTCTGATCCCCTCGCACCCGCAGCTGGCGGATGGCCCAGGAGGGCCCCTCTTTAATGGGCTCCATACTCCAGATCCTGCCTGGAATCCCATGATCAAAGTTGTCCAGAACTCCACAGAATGTACTGATGCTCAGCAGGTAGTGTGGCTGCCTTCTTCCACCTTTGCTTACGTGGGGCTTTTTACAGTGTTGTGCTTTGGTTTGATTTTCTTCACTTTGGATAGGTGATGGGTTTTGTTCAGTTCTTTGATGCTAGAATTGAAAATGTTTGCATGACTTCTCCCTACAGTGTGTGTGTGTTCATAAAAAATATATGGTGCTATCCCTACCTACCAAACCTTTCAGGTGAAATAAGCAGCATTTCAAGACTGCTCAGCCAGGTAACAGACTGTGCCATAAGTGAGAGGGTTTATATCCGTACTTGGCATCTTTCAGGTTGTCAGTCAAACTTTGGCCAGAGCTGAAGAGGGCTGTCAGCCACAGGACAGTCTGGTTATATTCGAGGGGGAAGCCTTCAGCTTGCCCTCTAGTGGTTAAACACTCTGTTAAAGGAACCTTTATTTGTTTTCATAATAGCCTTGTCTTTTTATTTCTTGCTGTAGATTTGGCCTGGCACCTGGGCACCTCACATTGGAAACATGCATCTCAAGTACGTCAACTGATTTAAGGGGGTCTGTCCTTTTTTAGCGTTGTTTGGGAATCTTTATGATCTTGGAAGAACCCTGGGGATTTTTTTAACGTGCCTAACTAAGCAATTTTCTTTGGCCTGGAGCAATGGAAACGTAATGGCCCATTGTATAGCAACCAAGCGATTTACCTGTACAAACTAATTCTGTTCTCTGGTTAGTTTAGCCATTTTGAACTTAAAAATCAGACAAAACTAGTGCTTTTGGCTAAACACTACTGAACGCTTCTTGTATGCAGCAGAGAACTAGCTGATGACGTGATTTCAACCTATTAGGGTGGTAAATACATGTATAATTGTTTACGGACTTAAAAGGAAAAGCTGAGTAAATTTCATGTCGTATAGTGGCTCTACTTTATGTAGCCTGTATTAATGTGAACTATTTACCTGAATATTCAATAAAAGGCAAACAGTATTTAGAGGTTGTGTGTGAGAATTTTGGAAGAGGCTGGATGGTGCTGTCTTTGGTAGCTGCTGCCGTGCACAGTGATGCATTTCTAAGGGTCCCAGAATTAGCACGTGGATGCAGTCAGGGATTGGGGTGGATTTGATCCAGTCATCAGCTATACAATGTCTGCTGAGTCCTTCCCTCTGCCAGTTGGTAGCCTTGTATTTTTGGTCAGTGAACGTGGTTGTGCGCTTTTTTTATGCCTTTCTGGATTAGTTCTGCTGCTGTTAGCACTCTTTTTTCCAGGTGTGTTGCCTGAGATACAGGGTTTTGTTCAGGGGTTGGAAATAAAGGCCGAGTTGACAACATGGCAACTGATGCCATCTCATTTTGCAGGAGGTAAATAGGCAGCTCATAAGTAAATGCAGGGCTTAACCTCACTCAATGTGACCAGCTGCCTAGAAGCAGGTATTGAGAAAGCTGAGACCACTTCCCACTAAGAGCAAAGCATGATATATTCAATTCTAAGCTTTTTGTAACCCTTTGAATCTGGTAAAAGCTCTTCAAGTCCTTTTCATAAGATGAATGTTCATTCTCTACCCAGCTACAGAAATTTTCTACTTCTTGCACTTGGACTCTGCTTATTTCTGCTTCTGCTCAGTGGTGGTGCAGTAACTACACTCTGCAGTCGGTCCATTCCTCAAGCAGCTATTGCAGTGCACATAGTGTTCAATCTGATGGACCACTTTCAGTGGCCTCTCAGACCAGATGGAGACTTCTCCACCTCCTTTCACCTTCTCCAGACAACTCCTTGCATGCAGCAGCAGTTTTCCCCAGAAAAAGCATGAGGAAAGGAGTACTGAAATCCCAAAATGCACAAGCAGCATCCCATGCACTGCAGGCAGATAAACCTCTGAGGTGCTCCTGGATGATATGCTCAGATATTTTCCCTAGTATTTGAGGAAGAGATACAAAAAACATAGGACTGCTGCTGCCCTTCAGTAGTGCAGATGCCAAAGAAGTACTAAGTGTGTTGAAACAGGTGTAGTGCAGGAGGTGCCTGTGCTTGGAGTGAATTGCAGGGAAGGGGCCATAGGCCCACACTTCTTCCATCCCCTGTGTGGCACCACTATCTCCTCCTGTCCTATCCTGGGGAGTCACCATCCTCTGTCTGGGGGGCCTACAGCTCCATGCCAGTGGCACTGTGTTACTCCATCACACCAGGGGTGAGACCCAGCATGGAGATGGGGTTGTCCTTTCAATGGAACAGTGGCCTTAACTGCCCCAGCTCTGCCTCAGTGAGGCAGCTCCTTCCTGAGCCAGGTCCCTTCCTGGGCTCTCCACCTCAGACCTTGGTGCTTGGGTGCATGGGCACCATTGCTGGGCACTAAGGTCAGGCAGGCCCATGGGGTGGTGGCTGCCCTGGCAGCCCAGAGCTGGAGGGGAAAAGGGAACCCAGAGCTTTGTAGGAAGATGCTGCTGAAAGTTGGGCCCGTCACTGTCTTGTGGTGCTGCTGGCACAGTGGATGCAGTGCTGGTCCCTCAAGGCTGGAGCTGGGGCAGGCGTAGGGGCTCCCACAGGATGTCTGCAAGCCCTGGGGGAAGGTGCTGGTTGGCAGGGCTCCCTCCAGGGCTACCTTAGGCCTGTGCCCTGCCAAACCCCCCGGTTCAGCAGTTAAGTAGATCCTGTTCTTTGCCGTCTGTCCTCTTCGGTAATGTGTGCCCAGCCCTGAGCTGGGCCTGTTTCTTTGGGGCCCCAGGTGCTGGCTTCATCGTGTGCCTCCACAAGCTTACCTGGGCCGGGATCCAGGCTGGGTTGATGTGGGTTGTGCAACCTGTATTTGTTGTGCTGGGACAGGCCTGTCCCGTGTGGCAGCCCTGGGCTCATGGCTGGAGCCTGGCAGGAAACTGACGCTTGGCTGCAAGGTCATCGGGGTAGGGGAACAAGGCAGCAGACACAGCGCGCAGGCTGGCACAACCTTGGTGCGGGTGCACACTGTGCACCCAGCAGGCTGGAGGACGTGTCCCCTCCAACCATGTTCGTTGCCTTTGTGCAGGGCACAGCAGGGTGGCTAAACTAATGGGAACAGGTCCCCATGGTGCCAACGAGAGGCACCCAGCCTTTGCTCTTTGATAGCTGCAGAAGCCACCCCAAGGCAAGGCCAGCCCTGGGGCACTTGGCCCAAGCCTGATGCCCACCCCAGCACAGAGGTGGCTGGGCTGTCAGTACCAGGGGGTGGGAGTTGCTGCTGGGCAGGGTGGGTATCACAGTCTGCCTTGTGGAAGTCCCACAGTGTCCACAGGCCATGGCCAAGCGCTGGGTCACACGCCCTGCTCCCAGCTCTGGCTGCGGTACTGGGGGTGGCCGGGGCTGGCAGAGCCTGACAGCCCCCTGCTTTTGGCAGGTACCCGCATCATCTACGACCACAAGTTCCTGCTGGAGTGCAAGAGTTCACCCGTGGCCAGGACCCCTCCCTGCTGCCTGCCCCAGACCCCCGGTGCCACATCCCTGGCCCAGTCCAGCCTCGTCAAGCTGGAGGAGCTCAAGGAGCAGAATGAGAGTGAAGAAGCCGTGCCAGGTGAGCAGCTCAGCACCTGTGCCTGCCTGGGGACAGAGTGGGCCTCCCATGAGGCCTAGGCTCAAGGGGAGATGCAGGCTCAGCCCCGGTTCCAACTCCTGCTGCTTTCTGCCTGCACATTTTTCCCAAGGCACCCCCATCCTAACCCTTTCCCTCTCTTTGCCCTGGCAGATCAAGACCACTTTGAGATGGACATCTGAGTTTCCAGCTCCCTGTCTCCAGGCCATGGCTGGGCCTGTTCCTGGGCCTCGTGGAGGTGCTGGCACCGTGACCAGCTGGCTGCAGCACTCTCTGATGCTGGGGATGGATGTGTGACACTTCAGGCTCTAGCACAACTGGCTGGTGCAATTGCCTAGGAGCTCATGCTTGATCAATAAACACCATGAAACCCCTGTGCTGACCCAGTGCTTCTCTATGTTGGGGCTCAGTTTGTGTGCTCAGAGCCCTGGGAAGGGGAGCTGAAGAGGAGGTGAACAGCACCAGGTCCTGCAGGCCAGGGGATGGTGAGCACTGTGCCCCAAAGGCTGCTCCCAGGCTCAAGGTGCCACAGGCACAGGCTGTGTGCATCCTGTCCCGGGTGAGTGTCACCACCCTGGGTTTACCTGACCTGAGGGGCAGCATTAGCACTGTAATGTTTGTCCCTGTGTCTTTCTGCCCCTGAGGCAACCCCCATTTCTCGGGTCCCAGACTTGGGACAGGAGCCCAGATGGGAGCATGGGCTGCAGCTGCGGGCTGCAGCACAAGCCCTGGCTGTGCCAGGATGCTCTGGTCCCCAGCCAGCTGACAAGGCTGTGGGTACTGCTGCCTTCTGCAGAAGAGCTGGTCCATGTGTCTGCTGCTATGGGTTCCCCCCACACTGCCAAAGACAAGGCCAGAGGGGTGGCCAGTGCACCAGGGGAATGCATCACTGCCCCCTTGCCTGGAGGTGCTGCCAGGGACATTCATTCCCTTCATGTCTTGTGGGCCATGTCACCCTGCCATGACCATGGATTCACCCAGCAATCCCACCTCCTGATGGTCCGGGGAGAGAACCAGGACCTGTCTGGTGCCAGAACCCCGGGGGCAGATTAGTGCCATTTATTAAACGTAATATACTGCATTGTCACTAAAATGTTGCAATGATTAAAATCCCATTGTCCTGGGCAAGGAGTGGGAGGCAGGGGAGGTGCCCAGACCCCCTTGGGCAGCCGTGGCCCCTCTCCTGCTGTGGCGCTGGGCCCAGACTGCCCTGCTCCTCACAGTCCGCAGCCCCGGCCCTGTCATCAGGGCTCCTCCTGGCCAGGCTCAGCCTCAGCCTCAGCACTTCCGTCCATGTCAGCATCCACTGTGGGCAGGCTCCTGCTCTCGGCGATCAGGCGCTTTACCCCCACCAGCCACTGGCTCACCTCATTCACATGGTCCACCATGAGCGAGCGGTGGATCTCGTCAGCCGCATCCCAGTGCTGCTGCTGGAGCTCTGCCGGGAAAGGAGAACCCATCAGTGGTGCGGGCTCAGCCTCCTGCCTGGTGGACGGCCTGTGTGCAGCCCCTCCCTGCCCCTCACCTTGCACCAGGAGGCTCATCCTCTTCCTCACCGGGGCTGACAACTTCCCCTGAGCCCACGCGTCCTCCAGCACCATCAGACGCCGCGCGATGTCGTCGCACACTTGTTTCTGCAGGCAAAGATGAGCTAGGGTGAGGCTGTGCCCCCTGCGCAGGGTGGGTCGCAGGTGGTAGGAGGGAGTCTCACCTGCACGCTGGGGCGGCAGGCAGCCAGGGCCTCCCTCAGCGGGGCCAGCACGGTGTCTGCGGGCACGCTGCACTCCTCGGGGCCTGCTGCTGCGCTCGGCTTCCCGCCCTCTGCCCGGGGGGGGCTGATGGGGCCCAGGGGAGGCGGGCCCAGTGCCCGCGGGGGTGATGCTGCTGCAGAGGCCGCGGGGGCACTGGCTGGGTCCGGAGGAGCCCCTGCAAGACGAGGCACTGGTGGAGCCCCATCAGCCCGACCAGGAGCCAGGACCTGAGCACCTGCCACGCCGTCCCCCTTGTCACCCCCTTCAAACAGAGCCGGCAGGACACGGGGATCTCAGGCCCCAGGACCCCCACAGCGCAGTGCTGTGCCGGTACTGCCCGGCCTGGGCGACAGGGGAGGGAGGGAGGGAGAAGAAAGGGGGTGCCTGGCTGGGCAGGGGGCACGGGGCGCGCGGAGGGGTTTCGCTGGTGCTGACCTGGGGGTGCCCCCGCGGGCGGTGGGGGGGCTCGGCGGGTGAGGGGGGTTCGCCTGGGCCCCCCAGCCTGCGCCTGCAGCCCGTACGAGAACTGGGGGGGGTCGTTCCAGCCACGCTCGTGGTTCCCTGCGGCAGCAAAGGGCACGGTGAGAGCCGGCGGGGAGCCGAGGGGACACCCGGACACGGGGTGCTCCAGGACGGGGTTACCCCTCCCCAGACACCGTCCTCCCGGGGGTCCCCACATCAGACACGGACCCACTGCCCCGTCACCCGACTCCCCACCGGGACACGGCACCTCGGGGCTCCCCCACAGCAGCACCGGGACACGGCCCCGCTCCGGACCGAGACCCGCAGGGACGACTCAGGAGCGCAACCGCAGACACGGGACCCCGCTCCCGACCCGGGACCCGAACCGCCGGTCCCGGTACCCCCGTTCCGGAAGCGCAGCCCGTCCCGCGCCCCCTCACCCGGCTTCACGTAGAGCTCCGCCATGCCGCCACGTCACGCCCGGCCCTGCCCCTTCCTCCCGGCGGTGCGGGGCGGGGCAGGAAGAGGCAGGGCCCCGCTGGGGCGGCACGGGAAGGGCCGGGGACCGGGAGCGGGGCCGGGGCGGCGGGGCCGGGGCTGGAGAGGGGGATGGGGCGTTCGGCCCCGGCCCCCGGCCCCGGCCCGCTATGGGGTGTGCAGCAGGGCTCGCCTCAGGCGGAAGACTTCCAGGAGGGAGAAGAGCCCCCGCTTGCGGACACCGGCTCCCGCCGCCCCGCCGCTGCCCCCGCTCGCCTTGGCTGCCCCGGCGGCCGCGTCCCCCGATCCCGCCGGGGCTCCGCTGGCCGCGGCCCTCGCTTTTGCTCCCGGGGCAGCAGCCACCAGGCACTTCTGGTACTGCACCTGCAGGACGGAGGGACACAGAGTGCCGGGGGTGACGGGAGCGCGGCGCCGCAGGGGCTGCTTGCTCCACGGGGTCAGACACGGCACGGTATGACCGTGGCGTGGGGCACAACGCAGTGTCCCTGTGGGGTCACATGCAACGTGATGTGGTTATGTGCTGGGACCCAGCGTGGCATCGCCATGGGGTCCTATGCAACACACTGTGCCCATGGAGTCACATGCAGTGTGGCCTCACCACGGGAGGGGACACAACGTGATGGTGTGACCACAGGGGTCAGACCCGACGTGGTGTGGCCATGGGGTGGGGCACACACAGCATCCACACTGGGACGCAACCGGACATGGCTGTGGGTTGGACATGGCACCGTGGGGTCTGTTCCCTCCTCCCCTCCTGCCCTCCCCAGTCCCCAACTTCACCCGGCCCTGTCCCCAGCCCTCGCCTCCTGCAGCTCCCAGTGGGATAGGAAGCCGGGGGACAGAGCACACCCCACTCCAGCTCACCATGCAGGCTGCCTGCACCGCCTCCGAGATGCTGCCAGCGTTGGGCTCGCACCAGAAGGCTGTGCACTGGAAGCGTCGCCCAGTGTCCACGATGAGTGCGAAGGTGTGGGCATCGTGGCCCACCCCCAGGAAGGTCACATACCGGACCTGGCACTCCCAGATGTGTGCTGCGTCCTCGTCCTCCTGTGGGGACCCTGTGGGATCATCCACCCCTGGCCACCCCCAGGCAGCCCTGCAGCCCCACGGCTCCCCTCTGCCAGGAGGCCGGGCTCCCCATGGGGGTTGCCTGTCACATCCCAGAGACATCAGGGTCCCCACATCCCCCTCCCCACCTGTGCAGGGTGCACCCTCATGGCCGTGTCGGACACGTGGATGAGGGACGGCATCCAGTGCTCCCGCCCGGGGCCCCTCGTCAGCTTCTCGATGGCCTCATTCAGCACATCCATCCCTAGGGAGCAGGAGACTCCATCCCACCAGCCCTGCCCCAGCTGGAGGCACCACAGGCAGGGACACTCCTTGCTGGGGCAGAGCTGCTTGGACATCCCATGGCGGGGAGGTGTCACGTGTGCCCTGGTTGTGGCAGGGCCAGCAGCACTTACCCATGGCCCTGGGCACAGGCAGGCTGCCGATGTAGAGCGCCTCGTAGGTCTGTATGGATTGCCTCACTGCTTCCAAGATATCCACTGCCAGGACAGGAGAGATGGCGGGGGGGGGGGGCAGGACCCTCCTGTCACTCGCTATCCCCAAGGACACTGGAGACATGGCCTTGCAGGCCAAAGGGTTCTGGCTACTGGGCATCCCAGTGCCCAAGGGCAGGCTGTGGGTTGGTACCTTGCAGTGGCAGGTCCTCGGTGGAGATGGGCCTCAGCATGGTGGCCCGGGGCAGCCCGCTGCTCGCTACAGCTCGCTCAGCCACAATCTGCAAGAGACGAGGGTCCCGGTGCCTCCTCCCAGCCCCGAGCCCCCCTGCCCATGCCCACACCAGCCAGGATCCCTGCATCCCACCTTGGAGCACATCTCATGCAGGGCCTTGGCAATGCCCTTAGCGGGCACATTGCAGTGGAAGACATGACACTTGAGGACGCAGGTGTCCTTGTCACTGGCCACGAAGGCAAAGTCTCTGCAAGTCCATGAGCAAGATGGTGAGACCCTGGCAGAGGCACCATGCACCCCCTGCCCTGTGCCTTGCCCCCACCCCCATGCACCCCTTACCTGTCCCTGCGGCCACAGTAGCAGTTGGGGAGGGACAAGAGGGGACAGGTTAGTACAGGGATGCTTCACCTGCCCCAGGCAGAGCCACCCCCAGCCTCCAGCTCTGCCCTGGCCCCCAGACCTGCCGTTGTTGCACCCAACGCCCCAGACACGGATGTTGAGGATGGGCTGGCGGTGGATGAGGCTGCGGTCGAGCGGGTCCACCAAGCTCATGGTGTCTTTCTTCAGGATCATCACCAGGTCCTGGCCCTGTGGGCGGTCAGTGGCTCCCTCAGCCTGGCAGATGGCCTGGGCAGCCCCAGAAGCCAGCCCAGTACTCAGCCCCAAGTGTGGGGACAGCCCCGCCCACCCCATGGCTCCCCCCAGATACTATTCCCATGTATAGGGACAGCCCGCCCAGGCACCCCTGGCACCATCTCCGAGGGACAGACCTGTCAGACCACCACACGTGGGACAACCAGATGATGGCCTGTGCGGGGAGAGTTGATCTGCCACTAGCACTGGTCCTGTATCCCACCTCTCTCCCGCCTCCCAGCATGGTCCCTGTTGGTGGGACTCTGCCTGGCAGCACCGTCCCGTGCTCTCACCTCACCCTGGTTCTCGACAGAGCCCTGGCCCTTGCTGTTGGAGAGCTGCTGGATGCAGTTGTTGACAGCAATGCTGCTTTTGCCAGGTGCCAGGTCCTCCTCGGGGATCTCCACCCAGCCCAGCGAGCGCACAGCAAAGCACTGACAGAGACACACGGCGCTTCAGACACCTCCACACCCTCGTCATGCCAGCGGGGTCACCCCTGCCCCTGCCAGCTGCTGCCTGTCCCCTCCTCTGCCAGCCCCAGCCTGGGTGAGGTACCTTGGAGCCGGGCTCTGTGCTCTGAAAGTCATCTCCATGCCAGGGCAGCGAAGTCCTGCAGGGGGACAGGGCGGTGAGGGGATGGCTCCCATTCAGCAGCACAGGCTTGGGCACACAGGGAGGTACTGGGATGGCCTGGCATCAGCGGATCCCCATGCTGCCAGCTGAGAAGCTTCCCATGGAGGTGACCACCAGCATGGTCTTGCCAGCTGCAACATGTGGGGCTGCTCTGGTGGGATCACTGGGGCCTGGAGCCCAGCAGTGGTCAAGGGTCAGCCTTACCTCCGGGATAGTGAGGCCATGGGGCTGGGAATGGGCCTGTCCTTTGCCGAGTGCTTTGCCATGGGGACATGGTAGTCCTGGGAGAGAAGAGGGAAAAGGTGAGGGCAGCAAGAGAGGCTGCTGGGAGGCACCGGGTAGGAGCCCTCCCTCCCTTTGCACCTCAGCTTGTGGACATCCCATTTAGACGGGATTAGGCCAACATGGGGCCTGCTGGACGCTTTCAAGGGGCTTAACCCTGGCCAGGAACAGGCTGAGCAGAGCTTTGGGGTGACAAAGACAGGTCTGCTCCAAGGAGAGGCTGGACTAGCAATGCCCAGCTAGCCCAGAGGTCTATCTGCCCCAGAGCCCTGGCTAGATGAAGAGGGCCCTAGATGTGAGGGCCCTTCAACAGGCTTCTGCTAGGGAGTGGGATCCAACACCAGGCCTCAGTCCCCCCCACATCCCCTACCGTTCCCTGGGCTGTCTCCTCTCCATCAGCCTCCGGGCGCCCTGCAGGGCCAGTGGTGCGTGCTGGGTGCTGCCACTGTGTCGTGCCGGTCGGCACATGCCAGTAGTAGGTGCCCAGAGAGTCACAGATTTTCCTCCAGCCTGGGGGGAGGTCGGGGTCTGTCTCCAGGCTCTGGTCACTCCAGAGGTTGTCTGTGCAGAGGGAGAGCATGAGGAGAGGTGGGGGTAGAGGAGGTTCTCCAGCTGCAGGGTGCCCTGAGAAGTGAGCAGCTTCACCCAGCAGCAGAAGGGTCCTGGGGTGGGTGCACGGCCTGGGATGGAAGCATGGCAGGGAAAGGCTTGGCATGACGCTAGGGGGGCTGCAGTAGTGGTGGACCCCAAGCAAGGGATCAGTGCAGGCAGCTGCCTCATTGGTGCCCCAGGGGATGGGTGACCCAGCAGAGGCACAGAGTGTACAGCCAGCCTGCTCGTGCCAGGACGGGCACGCTGCAGGGCTGCCAGCCCGGTGCTCCCCCTGCCAGCATGCAACACCCGCCCTCTGCCAACACCCCAGGGTGCCCGAGACCGGCTTCTTCCCGTTTTGGCTGGGGAAAGGGGCTGGGGACAGACCGCTGAGGTCTGGAGGAGGAAAGCACCTTGGAGGGTCGGCAGCTAGGACATAGACTCACCCCGTCCCCAGTGCACCCCAGGGCCTGGTGAGGTCACTCAATGAGCCCGTGGTGCAGCGCAGCAGCGAGCTGTGCCCTGGGAACGCAGCCCCGCATCCGCAGGGCTCAGCGCACCCCCGGGGGTGCCGGGGCCGAGCGATGTGCGGGGCTCCCGCTCGCTTCACGGGATGGGGCTGGGGGGGGCCGCGACCTTGGGAGGGCCGGGGAGTGCGGCCCCAGCACAGGCCGCCGCGGGCCCGTTTAGCACCGCGGACAGCGGCGGGCGCGGCCCCGCATCCCGCACCCCGGCTCCGCACCGCACCCCTGCTCCGCACCGCACCGCACCCCGATGTCCGCACCCCGATGTCCGCACCGCGGAGACCGCGCCCCGGCTCCGCACCGCACCCAGGAACCTGCACCCCGGCCCCGCACCGCACTCCCGCAGCCCAGCCCCGGAGCCCGCTGACCGTCGCAGTTGACGAGGACGATGGCCAGCATGTAGTCCTTGCCCAGCATGGCCCCGGCGCGGCCCCCCCCGGCCCCGCCGCCTGCCCAGGCCCGGACCCAGCGGCGGCTGCGGCGGGAGGGGCGGGTCCGGGGCGGGGCTGCCCTGGCGCGGAGGGACCGGGGCCGGGGGGGGCTGGACAGGGGCTGGGGCCTTCGGTGCAGAAAATGGGGCACGGGAGTGGGGAAGGGGCATTGGGGGCAGGGAAGGACTCGCTGCAGTAGCAGGTCCGGGGCAGCCCCTCTTGCCCTTCAGTTCGTTCCCTTCCCCTCCACACACCCTTAGGTTTCCTCCATTCCCCTCCCTTTCCCCACAGATCACCTTTATCCATGCTTATTCCATGTTCAGTCTCTTCCAGGCGTGCTCAGGTCCTCTCATTTCGTTGTGGCTCAACCTCCTTCAGTCGATACTGGAGACACCTAGATGTGCATGATGGTCATCTTCCCTTCCTCACTGGAGGCCGAAGCTTTGCATCTCTAGCATTTTCTATGCTACCCTAAGCTGACAATCCTGGTGGATGCTGAGTGCCCGGGGACAGACGCTCTAGAGACATTTGTTGTATGTCTCAATACCCCCTTGGAGTCTCTGCCACGTACTGCTGGGGACAAAATCTTCCTTAGCTACAGGTGCCATAATCCAAGATGGTTTGCTATCTGTGATATATCCAGATACTCCATTGTGTCCCGTCAAGCTTTTCACCTTAAGAGCCAGAAGCTAGTATGGTCCTGGATGTAGACTGTGTCCTTAAGAGCCCCCCATGCCACCTCAAGCTGCCCTGCTTCTTTCCATGCACAGCTGTCCACAGAGTTTGCAATTTTTGGAAGTGCCAATGACTTTTCCATGGCTGTTCCTTTGCTTTCAGCAAAGCATTGCCTCTTTGCTTGGCCTCATTCATGTGCTCCATGGCCTAACATGCCCCAATTTTGTGAGGTACTTTGTCCTCCTACCTGCATTTTAACCTTGAACACATCTGCTGGTCTAAGAAAAGCACCGGCTGCTTAACTCATCTTTGCAGTCACCCACAATCATTCCTGCATCCTCTGTTGGCATCTGCTTTTTTGGCTACAAACTATTCTGCATCAATCCACTTTGCCTTAGGGACATGTTTTGCCTAACCCTCACCCAGCTCACAGGAGGGACATTACACAGGCCATCATCCTACCTGACCCTCAAGGCAGAATGGTGGGCACTGGTTAGAGAGCAAAGGCTGCAGCTTCTGGGGAGGGTCTGCACCATGTACCCCAGCCATGGACAGTGCCTCTACCGAGAGAGAGCACTGCAGGGGGGGGCTGAAGGCAGACCTGGGGCTGCAGGACATGCCCAGACCTTCTCCTGGGGCAGGGACAGGCATCAGATCTGCCTGCAGACCATGTGCCCAGCGGTAGGACCTGCTGCAGCGGATGCTGAGCTGCAGGAGGTGGTGCAAGTTGTGGACCATCAGGGAGGACAAGGAGGTAAGACACTTGGTTCCAGGCACAGTCTGCAGTGGAGCCACAGCCAAAACCTCCCCCAAGGAGCACAGAGAGAAGGGAGGAGGGGGAATAACGCAGGGGAACGGAAGCCTGCAACACCAGGACCCGCAGTTGGAAGCGACATTCCCTGAAGCTAGAGGTGCCCTTGCAGAACCGCTTTGCAGCTCTGCAGGCTGATGATGAAGGACCCGTCAGCAGCAGAGACGCTGGAGGTGGGTACAGCAGCCCAGCCTGCTCCCCTCCCTGTGTAACAGCTACAGCTAGGGAGAGGCAATGGGTGGTAATAGCAGGGGACTCTTCTGAGAGGTGCAGAGGCAGCCATCTGCAGGCCTGATGTGCTGTGCTGCCAGCTGGGGCTCACATTAGGGATGTCACAGACAGACTACTGAGCCTTGTACCGGCCACTCACCGTTACCCATGGCTGTTGTTTCATGTGAGCACCCCAGACAGAGCCAGGAGCAGCATGAGGACTATAGGATGGGGTTGGAAAAGCCCCGTCAAATATGCTCAATGAATGAATGTCTACGGCACTGGTGCCACTGCCAAGGGTTTGGCCTCTTAAGACCATGAAACTTGCTTTGAAGGTCCAGACGAGCACACGCTGCCTTCCAACTGTGTATTTTATCATGTATTTTCTCACATTTTTAAAAGGGAACTGAAATTTTCAGAAGAACCACTTAAAGAATTATTTAGCTACTTCATTTTAACAAAATACTCTCTCTTTTGATATGTATGCCAAGGAAAAACAAGAACAAGCCACACAATGAAACAGCAACGAGACTGCCACCTCAGGGTTCCTGCATTGTTCTTTTTGTGGCTTTTATCACCATCTCCAATTTTTCATATTAGTTTTAAATTTACTGTGATTTTTAAAGGAAATATGCTGTCAAATTTAACAAAACCTGAGCTGCCTTCAAGTGGAGGGGATGTGCTCAGAGCCTCCCTGACTGGGCACTGAGGCCCAGGACGTTTCAGGCTCATTTCTACCTCCTGTGTACACTGATTACATCCCCAGGGCAGCAGCACAGTGAGAGAGAAACACTGATCTAATCTAATCTAACTCTGGAAATGGGTCATTGAATTAGGGAAGGGGGTAGGGCAGGAATGACTGAAAAGGGCACAGAGATTTCAAGAAGAATTGGAAGAGTTGCAAGTATTTCTGATTCAGAGAAACAAACCCTGATGATAAAGAAAGAATCAACAACAGTTTCTCATGCTGGCAATATATATTTATTGTCATTTTGGAGATAGGTTACCATGTGTATATCAGGACTTCAGACTAAAAACAAATCGGGATTATGAACTCTTAGCATATGCCAGTTGGAAATTAAATGACTGAACATAAAACTGACCTTTAGAAGAGCTTCAGTTGGTCTATTTTTTGTCATCCAGCTGGTTTTTTTCCCCACTTGAGCTGAACATCTTCCCCTCTCCCTCATGTCAACCTCAGAAAAATAAACAATCACCCAAATGCATCTTTTTCTTGTTTTACCATCAATCCACTGGCAATCTCAGAATACTGCTGATTCTACAACTTCAGAAGGAGGCGAACCTGATTCCACTTTACCTGGCTCCTGAGTCCAACTTTAATGACTGGACTTCAAGATTTGCTTACAATGAGACTATTGTGGTTACATTATTATGCTGCAAACCTTCAGTATACATGCTTTGCTGTCCCAGAACAAGCTACATCAGTGCAAGATCTGACAGTCTGTGCAAAGAAGCTGCAGTGCTATAAACTCTTAAATACCTTTCTCCTCCGTGCCACATGTGCTAACAAACATCTTCCACTGATTCCAACAATCCCAAATACAGCAAAAAACAAAAACAAGAGAAAGATGAGGCTTTTTCATGCTTTTATACAAAAAAATCCCCCCCCCCCCCCCCCAAATCCCCCAGCCCCCAAAAGAACAGGTCAAAACTATTTGTTCCCTACCCTCCCACCTGCTTCTAGCTTTTATATGTCACCATTAAAACAAATGCATACAACTTACTGTACAAATATGAAGCTGCGGGCATTCAAGTTACAGACCATTCTGAAAATAGTTCAAGCATAGAAAGTCCACTTGAAAATTGCAAAAATAAAGTTTCACTTTTTTAGAAAACAGTTTGATCAGAGCTGAAGCAAAACGAACATTGACCAATTCTTACTTCAGTTTCACTTCAGAAGAACGCCACCTTCAGGAGTTAAAAACAAAACCCTTAGATTGGTGGTGGTAACCGACCACGTCTTTTAATGAAGAGAAATGGTATATACAACAATGGCACAGACCTTAAGCATCAACCACAGATTTCAGCCAAAAGTAAGTCTACAAGTGAGCTGAGTCATTCTTAGCATCAAATGGTACTGATTGACAAGAACCATAATCTGCCGGGAACAGACATTAACTTAGACTGGTACGAATGGAAAGAAAGATCCAGGACATCAAATAGGCTCAGTTTTTGTCACTGAACGTTTTTTAGGCTAACGACTTCACTAGTGCAAGACCATTTGTTTACCTGATTAAATGAAAACTCATAAATGTCACAATTTAAGAACACTCATACAAAACTATGTTTTTTTTTCTTTTAAAAAAGTGCCACATACCATACTTTTACTAAAAAAGTTACAAACTAATGGAAGACTGTCTGCCTCCATCTCTTGTCAATGAGGAAAGGCCAAAGAGATTCCTTGATCCCTGCTCGAAATGGTGTTCTCTGGCCTATCCCCAGCATCTCCAACTTGGAGCAGTCCAGCTGAGCGTTCCTCGGACGGAGAGCACCCACAACCGGACAATCAGTAATCTAAAAAATAAACAGGAAAACCCCCAACACACCAACATGTAATCACAAGGTTAAAAATTCTCTAAAATGTTGACAGAACCATGCCTTGATCAATATACCTGAAGGGAAATTGATCTGCGCAGAAATAAATCAATCTTTTTCTCTCCATCTTCCAAGCAACATTTTAGTTCCAGCCTTTACAGATTATTTGGAATTTATTTTGGATATAAATAAAATCTTGCTTACAGGTTATTCTTACAACATTATCAGTATGTCATTAAGAGTACTCTTACTTTTAAGTGTCAGTAAAACTGCAGGACAGGCATTTTAAGCAAAGCATAAATGATCTGAAGTTCTTAAGTGCACGTATTCAGAAATAAATCTGGACATTGACAAGTTCTTATAGATTCCTACCTTTGAGTTAATGTTCTGCCAATCCGTAAGCTTTTTTAAGGACAAAAATTCAACAAAAAATACGGACTTACTCATGCCTAAGGGAACTGTTGCGCAGAAGTATCATTATACTACAGACTGCAAAACTGGTTACTGACTGACTGGGTCATCAGCAATAGACCCGCTGTGCCAGGCATACTCACACAATCTCCCTGAACAGAAAGTTTATTTGTATAGCTAGCAAGACCCACTACTGGAAACCATAAAACATCCATCTTCCTACAGGCTGAACAATACATCACTTACCGGTCTCAAATGGCTGCTGGGAAGGTTGAAAGCATCTGCAATGGCACACGCCATTTCATACTTAGTCATCTGTTCATTGCCAGACCAGTGAAACATGCCTCTTATCGATGGGTCCTACAGAAGAGACAGAACACAGAGGTGAAAAGCAGCAGCCAGACAGCCCTCAGTGCAAGAGTTGTGAAGAACAATCTTCCAGCAAATCCTATCCTAAAGGCACGTTACTACATCTCACGTTCTAGAAACATCTTGAGCATTTTGAGAGAACACTAAGCTAGGGACTGAGACCGAGTACTGGTGTTACATGTATCTGGCCTGACTTTTCACAAGCAGCTTATATTCTGTAGAATTATTACCAGGAGAGGAAGGAGCGAGCCAACCAACCAACCAAGGCCAAATAGTTGGGAAGGAGAAACTCGGCTCTTCTATACTAGTCACTTACCCCAAAACAAATGCAAAAGGCACCACACATTCTGAATGAGAAACTGCAAACCATATGCAAGTCCTTTCAAACAAACCAATTGCACCACATTTACTATATATGCATGGTCCATTTTTTACCAAGCTAAATAAAGGTGATTTTGTTATCTTGCAAAGATGGTAACCTGAAGATGATGTGATGAATAAACACAATCAAGTATTTAAGTCCAGTGGCTTGGTTTTGCCACTTCAGTGTTCTTAATACAGTAAAAACAAGGGCATCTTTGAGAATGACATTCAATCACCATGGTTTTTTTTTAGTTCAAAATGGCAATTTGTAAAAGGCCTGCTTCAGAAAGTCAGTATTTGCACTTCTCTCCTTCAGACTAGAACACACATGACAATTTGCAGAAGGTTCTATCCAATCGCTTCCCTCACTTTTGTTTCAAGTATCCACATGCTGCCATGTAAGGATACTGCAGACTACAGCTAGTTCTTCCTTCCCTCCAGGTATTCCAGAAATGCAATGAATAATGCAGGTTATAGGCGGTTCTCAGTTGTTCTGAAACAAAGTCAAGAACTCAAATCTATTTTACCTTAAAGGGGCTTGTTTCTTTATAGTCTTACCAGCATTCTCTTCTCTGCTAGCTGTCTGCAAACACTTGCTACATCCTTGACGTTAGTAGGAAATCTTTGCTGCCAGTGGTCCATATTGGCAGACTTATTACTGAACTGCACTTTATCAAACATAACAGTCACAGCACTTTCCTCCAGCCTTTCCACCTCTCCATACAAGACAGGAATCCTAAGTACTGCAGCACCTAAAAGAAAGAATATTTCAAAATTAGTAACATTGCTATGAATGAATAGGAATGCTGTAGTGTAACCTGAAAAGTGTTACAGAAGTGTTAAGAAATATGCTGGTGATATTAAGCATCTACAAATCACAAAAAAAATTGTAATTAATATATTTGCCCTCAGAATATCATTTTAATTTGTATCAATTGAAAGTTTATAAACACTGAGTTTATATAAACTTGTTTTGAGTTCTGCTGTTGATTGCCAGAAAGCCAACAAGCTTTTATTAACACCACAAGAGAAAAAAGATCTATCTGGGTTAGAGCAATGATTACAAACAATGATTACAAAGATAACAACTGAGCTATGCAGTTACTACAACACTCCCCCTCCTCCCTGGGTAAGAGCATGAACAAAAATTCCCACCAAGCATCATATTCAGGTGTCAATTACAGACAAAGATTTTTTGCCCAGCATGCAGAAGCCTGCATCAAGGAGGATATTATTTACCAGGAAAAAAGACATGAACCTTAGCATAAATTAAGCACTTGACAAATAAGAAACAGGTTCACAGAATATGGCAGTGAACAATATCCAATTTCAAGATAGTGATTTGAGAAATTAACAGCAAGCAAGTGCAAAGAGAAAGATATTTTATGATGGAATACATCACACTAGTCTACCTCAGTCACGAAGACTCAAAAGGCTTCTCTGAGGGGAAATGCAAGAAGGCTATGACAAATGCATTAAAAGTAACACAGATATTTTGGCTTGAAGAAAAACAAAACAAAACAAAGTCAGTCCAGAAGTTTGAAGAAGTCACCAAATCACTGCAATTCCTACAGATTTGTAGGAAAATGCTATAGCCATTAGAAAGACAAAAAGAGAAAGCTAACACACAAATTATTCTCACAGAAAAGTAATCAGAAAGAAGTACCTATATAAGAAAAACAAATACAATTAAACCCCCCAGTATGATACCAATTTCCTGCTGCTTTAAAAACTGTTTGGTTGCTCAGCAAATATATTCTTCTTCTCTCTAAATACTGGTTGAAAGCTCTTATTTTTAATCTCTTTAGATGTATTCAGTATTTGACAAAGACAACACCACTGTTCTAGAGAGCTCTCTGTGACTTGGAGAGCATTAGCTTCATTACCAATGGTTCTGATGACCCACTGAAACTTCATTGCTTTATAAGCATCAGTACTACATATAACTTATATCCCTTCCTAACCAAAGTAAAACAAATTTAAAAAAGAATATGCAAACCCCCAAATTATTTGTGGAGATTTCTTGCACCATACGACAGAAATGGATATGGAAATTCTTCATGCAACAATAGGCATCTGATAAACTGAATTCTACCTATACAATATTAGCAAATAAGTGGTTGGAAGCCTTAATACATGTAACATATTTATATTTGTATCAACAGTAGAATTTACATTTTCAAGCATCTTGCTCATTACCATCTCAAAATTCCTTCTGCTAATGATACCACTGCTGCAACCCACTACTGCCTGACAGATCATGCTCAAAAGGTTTTGAAACACAACTGAACTGCTGAGTTGGGTTTGGGATCTGGCAAGATAGCCACACATACTTGAATGTGGTGCAGTCTTATCTTCATTACCAATCTAGAAGAGGGAGCAAACAGCATCACAGTCAAATTCAGAAATGATATTTTGGTAACAGCTGGGATGAACAACTTTCTATTTTTACTTAAATAGGGCTTTTCCTATCAAAATGTTTTTTAGAAAGTCTATTTTTCAGCAGTAATGACAAAGCTATACTAAGGCCCATCATTTTCCAATACAGTGCATATTTACTTACTGAAAGACCATCGCACTGATTTATCAGTTGTTCCATTCTCTGCTTAGGCAGAAGAGAATCACAGTTATAATACTGACATATTGGAAGCCTCTTCTGCAAGTGCACTGAGATTGTTTTCTTCAAATTCTTTGAGAAAATACAAGTGCTTCTTTCCTTAGAATCTGTGAATGGAAACTGTCAGCATACTAACAAGGAACAGCCAAACCTCTGTTTCAGACAAGAAATGAGTTTTTAAATGCAAGGGAACAGGATCGGTCACAAGCCTTTTTCTCCTTATAAGGAGAATTGAATGCCAATTTTCATTGAGATGCCAATTTTGGCATCTCAATGAATGCCAATTTTCAGAATTGAAACAAAAGTTTCAATTGCCAATTGAAATTGAGAAAATGCCAATTTTCATTGAATGCCAATTTTCATTGAGAAAAGACTTAAACAACAAATAAATATTCTGCTTAAAACCAGAAATATGTTACTAACTCTTTAGAAAGTGCTACAATCAGGAATCTGATGTGCATGGTGAGGTAGGTGGGTAAAACCAAAATAGATGGCCTGATGGCTTACTTAGGAGAGCAAACCAGGAGATCAGCAAGAAAACCAAGAGCCTGCAACAAAGGCCTATGTTAATATTATCTGCATTATTACTGAATCACAAGTCCATTTTCCCCTTTAAGTAAAGGTACATTTAGAACAACTGTAGTGCATCTCCTTAAGTAACAGCAGCTGTATACAAAGCATGGTAAAGCTTGTGCCATTACAATACACTGATGATGTATTTTATTCTTCCTTTAGCGTAACTGATTCACAGCAGACAACGGCTCGTGAACATCCATCAGCAGAGACTAGTAACACAAATGATGATCAGAACAAGTAAGAAATGAAGCTTTAGTTGACCTGTAAGCAATAGGAATGGTTCACAAGCAAGGAGAACGTCTCTTGATCATATTATTTTCTGAATTTTGTTTTCATGGTTTTGCAATTTTACCACTGACTTACGAGTCTACTAAGCTAATATACAACTAACTAAAAACAGAAAGCCTGTATTCAAAATGTGAGTGTATTCTTACCTTCATTATTTTCCAGGACTACCTTTTCACCCTCCAGTTTGGTTTTACCATATAAATTCAGGGGATTTGGTATGTCAGTCTCTTTATAAGGAGGATTTGTTCCATCAAACACGTAGTCTGTACTAATGTAGATCAGAAATGCTCCAACTCCAGCTAGGAAGAAAATGTTTATACGGTCTGTTTTAATCCATGCTTTGTCTGAAATCCCAATAAACCTTCAAACAAATCTCTGAAGGACCTCATCTTCTTCTAGCCCCACTCATTCCTGCTGCTTTGTCTGTTCACTGATCCTCAAAACAGACACACATGCTACCCTTATAGAAAACAGGTTGACAGCACAGTGATTTCAAAAGTGACATTAGCACTTGGAATAACTTACTCCTATTTATGTCCCTGTATAAATAAATGCAGCATTTTAACAAGAAACCGGATACATTAGATGGTCTCCTTACCTGCCTCTTTTGCTAAGTTCCCTGAAGCAGCCACATTGAGCTGAGAAGCAGCTTCTGGTTGATTTTCTACAACATCTGGCCTTCTCTCAGCAGCACAGTGCACTATAACATGAGGCTGGAAATTAAAGACTAATTTTAAACAACAAACATCATCAAGAGATTGCAGCTGTACCCTAGCTCTAGCCATGAACTCCCTCAGGCAAAGAGGCATTTCACTAAGTTGTGAGAAGTAAGAAAAGCAGTAGAATTATTTGTAAGCGTGGTGTGCTCAGAAGCATGCTTTCCTTGGGAAGTAAAACTAAACCATGCTGCTTTTAGATGCCAAAAAAAATGATCACTAATTTTGCAACTGTGATCTTCAGTACCTTCAATGTTACAGCAAGACTGAAACTGCTGGTTGTTTTTTTTTCTTTAACTCTCTACAATAATGTAAAATATTATGATAACATGTATCTCACACACACATAACTGCACTCAAAATTTCTAGATAAGCCATTTCCACATGGCTTATTTGACATAAGCAGACCAACAATATTTAAAGACATCTTATAGAATGGCACCCTGCATAATGCATTTCAGGTTCCTCTTGCAAGTCAGTTTTCAGTAAAAACTGAACATCTTCCTGCATTACACACTGGACAAAGAGTTACTGCTGTTGTATTCAAGTGTTCTTCAACAGAACTGCTTCATATTACTCTGTCAATAACTAACGGTTATCTTTTCCTTTCAAATACAAATGCAAGTGTGCCAACGCATCTGTCTGTTACCTGTCTCTGGTGATGACAGCAGAGTTTAGAACTGTCTGTATGTGCAGAGCAAACTGACCTTCAGATGCGGCAGAAAAGGCAGCCACACATCTTTCACCAGAGCCTTGCCTCACTATAGCCACATAAACTCAGTATCAGAAAAGCACTGTCAACTGACTACTAGATGTGTAAATGTAACCTAACCATCTACTTCACACTCCAGGAACTTACCTGAAAATCATGGATAATGTCATGAACTGCAACAGAGTCCAGAAGATTTATCTGTTCAAATCTGGGCTGAGCTCTCCTGTATCCGCAGCCAACTGCATTCCAATTATTTTCATTGAATTCTTTAAACACAGCTCTGCCAAGAAGTCCTGTAGCACCAGTAATGAGAGCTCGCCTACTGGGAATATCAACATCTTCCTAGGGAAACAAGAACAGGAAGAGTTTTCTTTCTACTGTTATTTAGAACTATGTTTTCTTTAAAAGTATGCAAGGCTACAGCCAGAGCTACTGCATTAAGCAGCTTCCCTGGCCATATGAATGTTTTGGAATGTCTCATGGAACACAAACAACTGGGAGCACAGAGATTGTACCTAGTCAAGTATTTAAATGTACTTTTGAAGATAGTGAAAGCAAAACTTAAATGGGAAACTCATTTACTTCTATAACAGGAGGGGAAACCAAACCGAACTACTAATGAAGACAGAATTTTAAGTTCATTCAAAAACTGGTAACTTTGTGCAATTTGAAATGAGGGAAATAACTTCTTTAGAACATGCAACATTTAGGGTCCATGTCCTGCAACAAGTAATTTTGGACAGACTGTGCCTGTTAGAGGCTGCAGCAATACCATACAGCTCCCTGTGGGCCTACCTACAATGACTCTTAGAAATGAAAACTTGAATTTTATTATTAAATAGTAATTCACTGGCATTTAATACAAGTCTAATAATAAGTAAAAACAAGATACAGGTCTCCTCTCAGTTTTACAAAAAGCATTGAAAGTGATTGATAGTTTAAACTTTCCATTTATACAACATCCTAAAGCTTCTTCAGCTCTGGCATATTTCAGTACTCGAGACTGTTGTGTACATCAGTGCACATAAAGTTCCTTCCTCTCTACCACTCACTGGACCATGAAGTTTTCAAGACAGGAAACCCAAGGTTAATGTCTGTCTGAGCAACCCATTTTCCTTTTATGCTTTACTTCTGAAGGTAGCATAAACAAGCCCAAAAGCGTAGAGTTACATGCCAGTACAGACCAAAACTGTGGGTGTGCAGAATCCACACATCTGGGATTTCCTGACTCCTTTATGCACAAGGACCATCTGTGATAACTGACTCTAACTTTGTACATGCTCTCTACTATGTGATTCAAATAGCCCTGTCACTACTGTGCATTCTTACATTTTCATCATTGTGACAGACCAGCTTATTGATTGCAGCACAGGAAATAACAGAAATTGATTCCAAATTACCATCTTTCCCCCTTAAAGTTCTAGGATCACAGGCTGTTTTGTGCTGGAAAGGACCTTAAAGCTCATCCAGTTCCATCCCCTGCCACGGGCAGGGACACCTTCCACTAGAGCAGCTTGCTCCAAGCCCTTGTGTCCAACCTGGCCTTGAACACTGCCAGGGATGGGGCAGCCACAGCTTCTCTCGGCACCCTGTGCCAGCGCCTCAGCACCCTCACAGGGAAGAGCTTCTGCCTAAGAGCTTATCTCAATCTATACTATAAAGTTAAAAAACTTATTCCATAAGCGCATATGCCAAGGCACTGACAGTTCCCAGCACAGCATGTGCATCTTCCTCCATTCTAAACCTTCAAGTGAAAGAAGACTTACTCCCTCAAGTACCAGGTGAACTGACATCTTGACAGTTTCTTTAAGGCAACAAACTACAGCAAATTATGTTTATGATTTTTAAGGCTGCCCATGCTCTCTGAAATGCATAAGCAAGAACACTCAGTGTTGTGATGTACTTTTTATCTTTGCAAGGCCTGGACAGAGCCCCACAGGACAGATTTACCAGCACTTCTAGAGCTAATAAACATCAAAGCTTTGTGGCAGGAAAGCCAGTTCTCTAAAAATGTGACAGAATGTCTTTAATAAGTAGGAAGCGATAAACACAAAAACTTGTGTCATTTCTAAGCTCTGGCATTTTTAAGCATCATTAAGGTTTGTTTATTCTATGTAGCATAAAGAGGATATTACACGAGCAGCACAGCCTAAACTGAATACAACAGTCACAACCAGGTTTAGTACTGTCCGCATCCCGTTGTTCTTGTCTGTTGTTCCAAGTCCCTTGTTTCCACAAGGTTATTAGCAGGCATTTCCCATAAACTCAACACCAACCACCAGTTTTTAATGCAGTTAAAGGTTCTAGTAACACAAAACCTGCACAGATTAACTCTTTTCCTATATGCTGCCTTGCTCCTTTGCAGAATATCACTGAGCTGCAACAGGCTGTCTGCCTAGGAACTGCAGGAGCAGACCTTCGAGTCCAAAGGACCTTGAAGGCTTGGTGTGCCCAAACATCCCAGAATTCAAATGTCACCCTTTTGCCTGCAAATTCTGTAGCCTTAAATGCAAGTTACTATCAGACTAGCCCATCTGCTAACAGGTTTTTTCTGCGTGCTTCTCAATTATGAAGCAATCATACCCAGAGTCATCAAATGTGCATTAGTCTTAACAACTAATTTTAAATAATACTACTTAAATGCACCATTTTAAGCTTTATGATAAAGTGTACGATTTCTATCTGATGCTCACTGCTCACTAGGAATTAATATAATAAAAGAGAACTGCACTCAGCAGCCTCATTCACATAAAAATATCCAAGATAAGATTAAAAAGTAGCATTTGGGAGACCTAGAAGTAGTTTTAGACGCTATTAAAAGTGCAATCAAAAACCACAGTAAGACGCAAGGTATTTCAAGGTGTAAAACCAAAATACAAGTACTTTATAGGCTTCACATAAAAATCAACTCAGAGATACCCATGTTAAGGAAGGGGCCGCCGGGCTCACGCAGGTTAGCACACAAGGTGAGGACCGGGAGGACGCGGCATCAGACGGGACGGGAGCACCGGCGGGCCGCTCCTTGCCGCCGGCTGCACCTGCTCAAAGGCTCTGACACGGAACGGGCCCGTGGGCACCGGACAGCTCCAGCAGCGCGACCAGGCAGGGCCGCAGCGCAGTGCCCAAACCGTCGCCACGGAGGCAACGCAGCGATGGCGGAATGAGGCACCGAGGGTCCCGATCCCGGAGCTCGCGGCAGCCCCGACGGAAGGGCACAGCCCAGCCACCAGCGAGAGCCGCCGGCCGCACTTCCCCTCGCACCCAGCGCTCCGCGGGCAGTCGGAGCCGCCACAGCCCTTCCCCAACACGCCGCGGCGCCTCCTCCGGCCCCGCAGGGGAGGCCCGTCCGCGGTGCGCTCCGCGGCCCTGCGAAGGGAGGTCCGTGCGGGGCGGCCCAGCCCGCCCGGGAGCCGGCAGCCGCGGCGCGCCCGGAGAATAGGGCGCCGTGGGCTCCCGCCGCTCACCTCCACCAGCTCGCAGCGGCCCGGTGCGAAGCGGATCTTGAGCTCCTTCTCCCGGCCGACCATGGCGGGGCCCGCCCGGCCCGGGGCCTGCTCCTGCTGCTGCTCGGCGGGGCGCTGCGGGAGGGCGGACGTGCCGTGCGCCGCGCAGCAGGGCGAGCCCTCATTGGGCAGCGGCGGCGACACGAAGCTCCCGCCTCCGCGAGCTCAATGGCTGAGGAGCGCCAAAGGGGAGGGGCCGTGGCGGGGGTTTAAAGGGGCCGAGCTGAGGGAAGGCGCAGCGGGCCTTGGGGTAGGAGCGGCTTAACCCGTCTGTGGGAGGCAAAGCGCGGCCATCGCTGCTGCGGAGACGCCGCAGAGACCAGGCCCTGGCTGGGGCAGGAAGGGAGAGCCCGCTGGAAAGCGGGAGGAAGAGGCAGAGCGGTACCGCCGTCTGACCATGACCCTGCAGCCCCGGCAGCGGCTCTGAGGGAGTTTGTGTCGAGTACATGAGCCCGTAAGGGGCTCCAGCACGGCGGCACAGCCCGCCACCCCTCAGCTACAGCTGCAGGCAGCCTGCACCCATCTCGACGGCTTAGCTGAACAGCCCAGGCAGCGATTGCTCCTTTCCCTTTCGTCCCGCGAGAGGAGGCAAGTGATGTCCGTCCGCGCTCCCAGACTCAGCCCGGCCTCAGTGCGCAGCAGCTGGTGAGCAACCCCTGTGTATGTGTGCGTGGCGTGCAGAGCCCGGGCTGTGCCTGCAGCTCTTGCTCGGGAGCTGTCTTCCGCCGTGTCCAACCCCAGCTCCTGCTGCAACCGCTGCTCGGTTACAGCCTTACCGTAACACCCTCGGCCTATAGAAAGCGCCAGCTTCCACTTGTGTAAAATTATCAACTCCTGCCTTTTATACAACAAAACTTCCTACTTCACGGATCCGGTTGCTAAGAGATACCATTATTACAGCAGCAACTATTTCATTTTCCTTTCAGAATGGCGGAATATCGTGCATTTTCCAATTGCCTTTATCCGTAGCTTCATATGAAAGACTGGTAAATGCCCCACGGGCGGTAGGGTTGCTTCTGCAAAAGCAATCCCTGCCTGCATTACTCATCCTACAATTCTACACTTACGAGTTTACTTTTTTACATGCAGGGTTAAAAAGTAACATGAACCTGTTCATAAAGCTTTTTACTGTGATATTCCAGCCCCACACAACGGCAAAGACCCTTTGCTCCGTATTATTTTGAACAAGCTTAAAGAAGTGGTAGCTAAGCTTTACGAAGTTAAAGAGAAATTAGAAAATTTACTAAAGTGAATAGAACAATACTGTAAATGACCTTTACCTGTGATAAGGACTGACATGTACAAGACATGAAGCATACATATAGAAATCACTTCAGACAGTTTCTTCCACCTTGGACTGCAGATGCCTTATATTCCTTGTAGTGCGCTATGGACATTTAATTCCCCTTCATTAACGTTGGAACTCTTAGAAAAATACCAGTAATTTCCTCACTTGAGGAATTACTTGAGATTCAGAAGAAGAACCTGCAAAGCCTGAGGGAACTGCAGGGCAGCCCCGAGGTAACAGCCAGAGCTGTACCTGTGTCTCACCCTCACTGTGTGGAGCCAGGAACTTAGCCGTCCACACTGAGAGCAAGGGGAGAGCAAGGAAAGCTCAACACCGGGGTCTCCGGCAAGAGCCACGAGCTGGCCTGTAAAACGCCTTCACATTGTTGTCAGCAGTCTAACAGTTAAAAAGCTGGGTGTAATATTATCTTCATAACAATCTAATCTACTTTTTTCTCATTTACATTGAATGCAGTAGCATTCTCGCTTATACTTCCAATGTCTTTAGCACTATATTCACTTTGTGAAACACTGTGATTGCACAGAATATATAGAAATTCTATTATAGTCGATACCAGTTATTTAAGCATAATGCACCACAGGGTGATTAAATGCACCAGGCCCTTCACTTATTAACATTTCAGACTGCAATTTGCAGACTAAAGCACAATTCTCTGCTCCTGTCTTGTTTCCCCTATGTTCTGTAATCAAAGTGCAGCAGCAATCATTTAATGCAAAGATCCATAGCCTTACCTGCTCCATTTCCACCGGCATTTCAGGCATTGCCCCAAACTACAGAAGGAATTATCAGCCTAGGAAGTTACTGCAGTTATACTGCGCACTCCTCCCTTTGTCTGCTTTGCCTGCAGAGAGCACATGGACTGAAAAGCAGCAGTGGCTTAACTGACCTTTGAAACTGAAATGCTAATCCAGGCACTACATCACGTGTGGCTCTGAGTCCTGCTAAGCTTTTGGGCAATTCCCAGTGGTACCGTTTAAGCAGCTCCGTAGGGACTTAAATCTGTACTTCATAACAGCCAGCATGAGCGAGCGCAGCCATTGTGTGCATCAAATTTATTCAGAGCACCAGCAGAGAGTCTTATGCAGTTTCCCTTTATAGGAAACAGGAGGAAGGCTCACATTAGGTCACCTGGGTTGAGGCGTCTCACAACTCTTCCTTTCACATTTAAACTCACTGCAACCCAGACCTTGCTGCAATGCAGTGAGACAGAAATAATTTAGTGTCTTTTAAATTAAAATTAAAAAGTATTTTCCACAAAACGCAAGTAGTTGATTCTTGCAGTGAATACCTCAGAGTACCTCAGCTGAGGTACCAGTATCAAGGTTTCAGCTTTTAATAGGTATTCCATACCTGCATGAAACTGGTAAACCAGTTCAAGTTGATACAAAGCACTCAAGATCTCTCCTTCAACTCTATATTTTTCCCCAGTCTGCTCTATATTGTTTAGCTATCTTTTAAAGCTAAATGAGAACCTGACATTGCTGTAAGGCTAGCATAATTATTTGCTGGAGTGACCTACTCTTGTCAATATAAGCATACTCTCAGCAGCTTAAAAAGGAATTAAAATGGTACTGCCAGTTAATATAGGAGGTTTTAATGAAGGCTGTATGAAAACAACTCTTAGTCATCATAAAAGCAGTCTTGTGATATACACAGTATTTTGCTTCACTGCATATACTTTTACCCTCTGACAAACTCTTGCTAACTTAATGCAGGACATTTCAAACAGAAATCAAGGTTCAGTTAAAAAAAAAAACAAAACAACATACTTTACCTGTTGCCATGTTGTGAGTTTTGTGGAAGCCTCCGTTAACATTCACTTGCCCTAATTTCTCTTGAAATAAAAGGCTCATTTACATTTTAAAAACTATATTGAATTAAGGATGTCTCACTTTTTGGCACAAAGGCTTTTCAGACTTCAACATTCTGATTTATGAACAGATTTTTGTCTCAAAACTCCCCATGTAAGTAGAACAGCACAGAAAGTGCACAACTTCAGCAGCCATGCATGAAATAATGCCATCTTGTGAGAACACTGTAGGAGCTGTGGTGTGTCACTTACTGCATTTTCAGTTGTTCACACATGTCCCTTCCCACCCCCTTGCTCACCAGGCAGTTTGGTTTAACCAACTGCTCATTTCACATCCACCAACCAGCATGTAACATCAGGGTTTCCAATACAACCATGTTCTCATCCAGTGAGACAGGCTAATGCACTTTAACTCTACAGTTTTCTTTTACTCCATCTCATCTTTCAGACAAGAGAACTTCCATACTTTTCCCCATAAGGAGAGAGAACTCCAGCATTAAATTCTTTCAGAGATCTTACTAAAATACACTTTTCAACACTTCAGGCAAGCTGCTAAATTGAACACTAAGTATTTCTCAATTCAAGCACCTTACATTAATCCTCATCCTTGCTCAAGTAATCCAGCACACACAGAACAATGGCAATAACAGACAAAACCTAGCAATTTCTTTCCCTGGACTTAATACATGTTTTTGGTACCTCATTTCCCATGTGTTATCAATCCTTTGTAAGCCCATAATGTCAGTATAAATGGCAGTATCTCCAACACATCAAGCTTTGTGTACTGCCTCACTGCACCACCCATGTGCAGGGTATTAGTAGGTACAATAGCAAGAACACAGAGTTCCACATTTCACTTGAGCACCAGTACTTGTGTATTAAGAGAAACTCACAGGAAATGAGTGGATAAGGGAATTGCAGGTTGTATGTATTGTACAGATCCACTAAATTTCTGTAGGATTGCAGATTACGCAAGTCTTTGAGCCAAGACTGACAGTTGGCTTTATTACGAAGATTTAAGACTAGAACGAAGAATATTAAGTCAATTACACTGTAATTTGAGTTTTATCCTCAGTTTGTGAGGGAAATAAACAAAGTCTTTAATTTAAAATTTTTATTGTGCTGAAACATTCTTAGATTTTAGATGCAAACAGATTCTTCCCACATTGCCAAAATTCAGGTCTGTACAATAAACGTGTCTACACAGCAGGGATCCTCCCACCCCATTAAGACAAGTTCCATTGTTATTCCCCTTCAGGTAGCATTGATCAATTACAACAACTACAAATTTATGACTGTGGGATTCCAGTCAGCTCAGCATTCATGGAACAGACATTTCTCTGAAGACACTAATCTTGGCATCAGTATGCTAACATTTACCTAAATGCAGTCAATTTGAGTTTGAGCACCAAATCCTCTTCTGAAGATCAAGAACAGCTGCAGTATCCAGCCCCAGGACTGAAATTAGCATGTCCTGAACATAGATCCCATTAAGAATATCAAAACTGTACAGCCCAGTTTTCTACACTGGTTCTGTATTATGTGCGCCACAGAGAAGAAAGTGTCTCCTGGCAGCATTGCTGTCACTGGTATTAAAACAACCATAAATAACAAACATTATAAAACCATGAGATAGAATAAAAAAAAACCCCATAATTCATGACACTAAATTTAATGCATCATACTTGCTCTTAAGTGCTTATTCACTCACCTCTTCTTAAGTTTCTCTGTCAAAACCAAGCTAAGCAGCTCCAGCACACAAAAACATGAATTGGTGAGTTAAAGAGCACAATGATGTTACCAGGCACCTGGAACATAAGTTACCTGTATGCTCAGGGCTTCTCAATAATAGTATAACCAAGCATATTTTTTTGAAAAATGTATAGGTTTAGACCATTTCTGTAGTACTCCCATGAAGTTGTATTATACACTGCATCCAGGTTCACCTTGAACAGTAGTCTGTTGAAGTCTTCTGTAGTACATGAGGGAATTTATTGGTGACTTACGGTATTTTTCTTGGTACCAAGAGACTAAATTTTGTTTCTATTACCTGCAATGGAAGAACATTACAAAGGCAGTGGTGGGAGCAATAGTCAAAACCCCATAGAGTAATTATTTGTAGTGCCTTCCTCCCCCCCCCCCCCCCCAGGAGACACTTCATACACCAGGCAAGCCAGAACTTCAGACCCTGGAATACACTGTAATGAAGGTCTGGTTGAGATCTCTTCCCTCCCACACTCTCCTCCACTGCTTTCCTTTGTGCCCCCTGGGCTCTTGGCATCTTTCCCTCTAACTCCACGTTCATCTGCCAGCCGTTTGCACCTACAGTAGTGTAAGGTTCTGCTGGGTAGCAGCTAAAGAGCTCCAGAGCTCCAGGCAAGCCACTGTTACCCCAGCACTTGTGCAGGAGACACTGCCCAACACCTGACTAGCAGTAACATTAAGCTGTATGACAGAAGAAAAACTGACACCACATACCACTTGCTCAGGCAGGGTTGTGAGAAACTGGGCTGAAAATCACAATAGCAAACCTGGGGCACTGGGAGTGCCCTGCTGAGGCAGGCCTCTGCCATCTGCTGTGAAACCTGAGATGCCATTCTCCTTCCTCCCCCAAAGGCAGCAGACTATGCAAGACTGTTGTACTTTCTTCGGTTAAACTTAAGAGGTACAAAGACATAGTTACATAAATGTCTAAGCTTACCTTCTCTAAAAGGAGTTTTTGGAGGAATATTTTCCTTGCTATCATGCTGGAAAGCTTTAGAAGGATCAAAACGCCGAACGCCCTGAATTGCATGCACTTGTTCCTGAAGATCTCTGTTGCTTTGCTTTTCTTTGGCTAGCAATGCACGCAGTTTTGAGACATCCTAAAGAAAACATAATACTTGGAAATTAGATTGAGAACAAGGAAAAGCCTGCTTCCTCATTTACTGAAATAGACCTTCTGACTAATGCTAAACACAAACATACATACACATCATTAGTAGCATTAAAAAAAAAAACAAATATACAGGTGTTAGAGAAACCAGCACCACTGTATAACTGCTGTATAAGATCACTAAGCACTATGGTAGCCTGAAACTTTCAGGCAATGCTTTCAGTAGGTGGCTTACTAAGCCTAGAACCTCCAAAAAAGGTAAGAAAAACCAACCAAGCTAAAAGTAGGGGTAGTTATTTGCACTGGTGATCCAGAAGCATGTCATATATTCAGTCAGAACTAAAACATTTTCTCAGTGTTTCTGGAGGCTGGTGGTTTGTTCTAATCTAGCTCTTGCAAAGAATGTTATGCTCACAGAAAACAAGTAGTTTGCAGGATGAGTCTATAAATACTTAGAGCAACAAGCAAATCAAGCAAGTTAATAACTTACAGATTTCTAACTTTTCATTTCACAGACCTGCTTTAGGTGGGCATTCTCTTCCTTCAACTTCATAACATGCTTGATTTTTTGCTTCTGGTTCTGGTGGCCAAGTAGTTTAGCATATGCATCACTTAGCTTATTCAGTTCTTCTTGGGCAGCACCATGCTCATTTAAGAGTGCATTTTTCTCTGCTTCAAACGCGTCTAGTTGTTGCTGAAATACACACTGCATCTTTCAGAAATCTTTAAAATAAACATAGCTTTTTAATGAACCAAAGTCTACAAAAATAAACTGTTTTGGGAAGGGGAATAGCTAGCTCAAGGGACAGTAGGAAACGGTTGTGAGATAAATGCCTTAGAACAGGCAATAGCTTGTCTATTTCTCAAGACTAAAACTTAAGACAGCTGCACAAGTTTTAAGTTAAGAGTTATTAATAAACATCTACTTGGTAACACACCTGAAAAGGCTTTGTCTTGTTATACAAGTCCTCATACAGATTACGCCAGGTCTTTATCTCTTCTTTTAAGCTAGAGGTCACATCTTCATTTATGGTTTTCCTAAAAAGCAAGAAGTGGAGTTTCATTATGTTCATGGTTAACTCTCAGCAGTTATTCACACTGCAGCTTTTATGTGCTCCAGTATGCATGCTTAGTTTGAGAAAAGCCACCTTGATCTTTCCATTTCGAGTTTTCTTTGCAGATCTTCGGTTTGCTTATCCAGTTTTTCCTGAAGTTTAGTCATTTGTGCAAGGCAAGACTCTTTTGTTCTCTCTGTTTCTGCTTCTTTTAGCGCAAGCTTTGTCTGGGTGTCTAAAAGCATCCTGAGGAAAATATTATCAATCTTTAATCAGCCCTTAATTTATTATTTACACTACCCTTAATCTGAAAACACAATTACCCGCTACTGAAAAGCTGTTAGTAGAAATGAAAGGTTTGCACAAACAGTGCTACAAAAGAACAGTATAGAAACAGACGGAACACACAGAACAGAGCAGTTTTCTGATGCATATGAGCTTAATGAATTTTGTCTGTCAGTATTTTCAACCCTCCAAACTGGGAAAAGGAGGAAACTTCAGCTTACACCAAATACCAATTTTATCTAGTGGAGCGCCATGTTAACTTCTAGTTAGGAAGGCAAGCCCTAGTTGGCATTCTTTAGCCTAAAGGAAAGTTCATCTGACTAGTACCTTGCACATTCTTCTTTTGCTTTGTTCTTAACGTTTTCTGCTTCTTGAAGTAGCTGTAGATGATCTTGGCCTACTTTTTTTAGGTTGACAACCTCTTCTTGCAAAGAAGTGTTCTCCAGTTTAAGACTGCTTATTTCTTCAGCTGTTGTCTTCTTGTAACTAGTATAAGAAAAATTGTGTGACTTCAGGCCTTACAAAAGCTCATGCTAACAAGTATAACAGATTTTATAATCTCCTAAAGTTAAAAAAAAAAATCCAATACATTTCCATAAAGCCACAAGTAGTAATATTGCAACAAGTTCTGCAATACAGCTATTCTCATATTTTGGTAGATACTGTAAAACACCAAAGACCTGCTATATCTGAAGCTTATTTTAAATACCAAAAGACCTGCTATCTGCAGCCTGCATTGGCAAGTATCCCACTGGATCCTTCATGGGTGCCTTGCATACTTAGCAATAACAGCATCACTTTTTAGATGCTTCCACAACCTGAATATTGCGAGAAGAAGGATCTGCAAGAACTGTAGAAAAATAATAACAATTCAATGCAAGTTTCAAGCCTACACAGGACGTCTTTTTGCAAGATACTGTAGGCAAGGAGAAGACCATCACTAGTTACAGCTCTCACTGAGATTCAAGAGCACTAGAGTATTATAAAATTGGTTACACTTTGGAAGAAACATCCAGTTTCCTGTACTAGACAGCAAGTATGTCATTGACTAGTACTCAAAAGGCATAAATTTCTTAATGACATCAAATACTCCAAAGTCCTCTGCTGTAATGCTGTACCAATGCTCATATACAGTGTTAAGTACCACAACTTATGAATAAACAGCTAACTTTATTGAAATCTTAGAGATAATCCCTGTCCTAGAATTTAATGAAACTCAAATACCTTTCAAACTCAGCAACAGTCTCTCCAAGTTTACGCAGTGTATTGCTGTGCTCTTCTTGGATTTGCAGAGCAGCTTTGCTGTGCATTTCATTGATTTGCTCTAACTCGGCATTCTTCCTGAAATAGAAGTTAATCATTCCATGCTGGAGATAAGTATGTCTAAACAATGCTGTTATCAGTTACAGAAAGCTTGCAGTGAGAGCAGTAAATTATGACAAACTGCCACAACTTGAAATAAAGCACCATTTTCACAGCAAATATAACTAAGCATCTCCCCTGCCTTATTTCCCCAAGGTAAGTATAGCATAAATTCAACACCTAACAGCGGACTTTCAATACGTGAACAAAGAAAAAGCTTGCTTGAAAATCTTTCCTAGTCATTGCCTTTTCCAGGGTAGAAGCATCCAATGACATGCATGTAGCTTACCCTTCACAGCAACATCGTATTACTACAGTACCAGCCTTTCAAGCAAGTCTCAGCACACTGATGAAATTGTACTAAATTAAGACCGTATGAAACTGATTCAAGTAATTATTGATGGTTATGTGGTCTGATCACTATCAATGATCAACAAACAGCAAGAAATAAGTCGAGATCTGTTCACGTCTCTGAAACCTGAATTAGGCTTAGCAGCTTTGTTTACACTATTAATATTTTTTCCTTTCAAATGTTTAGGATTAGAAAGTTTATTTCACAAACCCTTTCAGCTTTACTTCCATCTGTGAAAGTTGAAGAGCTTGAGATTTGATTTGTTGCTCCAACCGCTTCACCAACTTCTCAGCTTTCTTCTCCTGAGCATGCAATTTATTCAGCTCATTCATGGTATCATTCAGCTCTTCTTCAAGAAGACGTCTCTCATTTGTTACCTCATCTTGAAACTCTAGTAACTTCTGGTGCATTGATGCAGATGACTCCTGTATGTCAGAGTACCACAGATTTTACAGCTACCAGTACTTTTCCAGATATTAAAAGCTGTTTTGCAGCGTTCAAATTTTGAAGCATAAGAATAAGGTCAATTCTACAGGAAGAACCAAAAGACCCACCATACCAGCTATGATTCTTAAAGCTACTGGACCACAGTTTCTACTAGCTGGCACCCACTTAACATTCCATAGGTTAGACCATTATTCATACAGCAATCTCATATATAGGCAAAATTGGAACCTTTTGTGCCAGTCACTTGGATTAGAGCATTTTTAAACTACTTCATAGCCTGTATTTACCTTCTCTTTCTTCAGCTGAGAGACCATCTCCTCATGTTTCTGAAGCAGTTTTTGGTGTTCTTGTTCTTCTAAACAAACTTTTTTCTTCAGATCCTCTATTTCAGCACTCATACTTAGGAATTTTCCTCTGGTGTCCAACAATTCTTTCTCTGGATAAAGGAATTGTCAATATAGCACAAATTCCTTTCTCCATCTTCAAAGAACTACATCTTTATAATACTTCCATTCTAGATTTAAAGTTCGTTAGGCAAGGAAAAAGAAAACAAAAACAAACAAAACAAACCCTCACCTTTAACCCATCTGGAAACCCTCAAAAATCAGCTGAAAGTACACCACTTTAAAAATTATTTTAACAGCAGGAATCTTTGGATCAAGCCTTCATCAGAACAGCAGTATAGGTGGAGAAAAACAACTGAATCATTTCTTCATAGCTTCTTCCACATAATGCTAGCACACACAACCCAACAGGTACAGAGAACTGCATACCAGTCTCAGGCTGCAGAGTTGCTGGTTTTGGGGCAGAGATAGAAAAAGAGGTGACAAGGGAATCCTAGACACATTTCCAGTATCTCAACAAACTTGTGCACATGCTTGTAACAGTGAATTGAAACAGTATCATACTGCTCCTCAATGAAGAGTAAGGAATGAGTAAGTTGTGTTCACCTTTCAGGTTAAAGCCATTTCTACTATGTAAATGGTTTTTATTCTGTACTACATACCTTAGTAACCCTTCAGAGAAATACAAATTCAGACTTAAAAGATGTCAGATTCAAGGTGGTTTCCATATTGTTAGAGAGGTTCCTAGCTGTTTTCAGCTGGAGCTCAGAGAGATAGACTTATTTGTTCTAAGTTAAGTTAAATTGATATTTTAGAACAAGCCTATTTGAGATGCTTTAAAACATGTCAGTGATACCACATGTGCTGACAGCATAGAAACAGTAACAATTACCTTTTTCTTGTTGAAGCAGTTGAAACCTATCATTAAGTTCTTGTATCAGTTTAAAAGATTCTTCCTCTTTAGTTTTGAGGGTAGCCCTCAGGATTTCAATATCTTGGTCTTTCTGTATCACTGTCTCCTCCATCTGGGCAACATCTAGTTTGTATTTTTCAACTGTTTCTGCAACACTACTGTAGGAGAAAATTCAGGTACTTGTTACCACTAAATTTCGCTGGAAAACTTAACTCTTCAGCACAAAGAACAAATATTTAGGACTGCTGGTTTCAAACAGGAAAACTGCCTTCCGCTGCATTCCCAGACACAAGTTTTTGCACATTATGACAGGTTAATTAAAAAGCAGTTTCTCTCAACATTGATCTTTTGTTCTAAAGAAACTTATACAATTACATAAATATAAAGGTTTGATTAAAACATTATTAGTTACCATAATTGATTTACAGATGACTGCTATATCCAGGTTTTCACAAAGCTGAGTTTTCATAGCAAAGCATACACATTCATAAAACAATTTTACAAGAATAAGCAGTCTTTATATATAGAGGCAGTTACTGAGGTATCTTAGTGAGTAAATTGACTGGGGAAGGAGAGGCAAAGACTGAAATAGTTAAATTTAAATAATTCTGTATTTTTACCATGTTCTGAGCTAGGGACACATTACTGTGAAGACTGATTAGAGTTTCAATCAGTTACAGAGCACTAGAGTAGCGATTTTTAGAATCAGGCTGATGCGCATACATACATAATTCATCATAATTTGTAAATGCAATTCAGAGTACTATGCAAGCTAAGACTGGGGGGTTTATTTCCCCCTGCTGTAAATTGTTTTACAAGTAAGGGCTAAAAGATTTTACTGCCAGCACCTTTGAGGAAAAGGGTTCAGCTTGATTTGTGTACAAATGACTCAGGCTAAAACCAGGATTTCAAGACCCTGATACAGAACTCTTCCATATTACTGCTTAGCTGAGAAAAGCACAGAGACATTTAGAAATATAACTAACATTATTACTCCTTCCCATTGTGTGGAAAAAATACTTGATTTCTTTTCCCCCCTCTATTTTAATACTGTTAAACAGAATTGTTGCCAAGGCTCTAATTCAGCAGTCCATAAATGAGGCTTAGTTTTACTTCCTCTTAACTTACCCAGTCCCAACTCAAGAGCAATTTGTTATTACCTGAGCTCTGTGATGTATTCCAAAAGTTTTTCAGTGTCTGACTTTTCTTCAACTTTCTCTTTCTCAGTAGCAGACCTAAAACCAGGAAGTTTTCATGATGGATGTATTTAAACAAATTCAGAGTTACTTGGAAGCTATTTATTTACAGATAAGCAAGTAGAAATGAATAATTGAATCACAACTTATAGTAATATATACTTTTTTCATAATCCAGTTTGGCTGACAAACTGATTTTGGCTCTAAGATGTGATTCTGCCCTCTTTTGATACTTGTTCCATTTGGTTTTCTCATTGCAGTAGGGAGGCTAAGCCACATTCTACCAGAAGCAAGTAAGCTAGGACAGTTGCATAAGCTAGACAAATTATCATTTCTTCCCTCAGTCACTTGCCTTCCTTACTACTTACAGTTTTTCTTGCAACTGTGCTATTTTTCCTTGTGAATGCTCTAGATTCCTTTGCACTTCCTGCAGCTTCATTTCCATGTCTTCCTGCTTTGCAAGTGCAGTCTTAGAAAAACAAAGAAAAACCCCCAACAAATATTACTATCAAAAAGATATCGTAAAAAAATAAATAATCCATTGTCTAAGAGACAGTGGTAAAGAGAAATCACAGACAGAAAGTCACAGCTACAATTTAATGATAGCACTTGTTGTATGCTAAATGCAATTCAGACTATCCCTTTCTAAAGATACCAGCTATTTGTAAAAACTACCACCACCCCCCAACAAAACCAAAACAAACCACATGTAAGAGCTTCAAACTATATTTAGGACCACTGTTTTTTGAGGAAACCAGTAATGCAACCAACAGACTCATAACAGAGGCATCTCTAGGCTTCTTTAGTTGAATGCAGATTTACTGTGCACATCAACAGCAAAATCAAGAACATTTGGTGTTTTATCTTTCTCTACTTTATCTTCACAGAAACTACCAGCTGAGGACAGAAACAACACATGATCTGCAGTTCTGTGCCAAGCCCTTCATTGACTATTCCTGAACAGCTCAGAATTACTTCCTGTGCTGTGCAAATGGCCATACCTTTTCCTTAGCATCCCTCTGGTTTCTGAGCTTCATTAACTCCAGGCACAGGCTGCTCATTTTCTTTTGCATGCCATCTTCAGACAGCTTATTAGAGGAATATAAAACAGTAAGCATAATTCTTTCATCTGAGTTGTTTCGTACACAATGCTTTAAAGGTACACCCCTCCCACCCACAACACTTATCTCTACCCATCACTAGGATGGATGTTAGCATGTTAGCAGGTTCTGCTCTGCCTTTAGACAGCAGCACACAAGATCCCAGACCAGGCATGCTCTGTCTGCTAGTGAAAGGCACATGAAAATAGATGCTGATCAGCAACCGAAGTTTCTTCTTGCCCAGGGAGCTTAACGACAACAAAGTCAAAGCAAATGTCTGCTTGCTTGTTTGAATACCTTTGACTTCAGCAGTTCATTGGTTCTTCTTAGTTCCAGAAGCTGTTTTTTCAGGCATGCAACATTTGCCAAGAGAGATGTTTTCTCCTGAACTGCAGCATTCAGCTTTGCTTCATTCTTAACAAAGTCCTCAGCCAGAGCCTGAAGTTTTTTATCCTGCTCTCCACGCTCTCTCACTAATGCACGAATCTAAAACAAAAGAGGCATTTTCTTTGTTTCCTACTATTATTCTTTTCAAATAACATCATTACTTTGTGCCTCTGGTTTTCTTGGATAGACTGAGTATCCAAACTGTATAAACATTCATTCAGAATATATATCTTTAACTCTGTCATTCACTGAAAAGGAGATAACAAAATCTCAATGATTCTCTAATATTATATAGCACAGACTTGCAGTCCTAGCATTTCACCTGACTTTTTATGCTACTGAGTCAGTACATGTTAAATTCAGAAGTCTTAGCTTCAAGTTGCAACGGAAGCCAACTCTCCTCTTCGGCTGTGGAATGGATAAACAGAATGTGACATTTCAGACACACAAGGCATGTATCAGCACACAGTAGTATGATAAGGAAAAGCCAGCTGCCTCTGAAACATTAAAATTATGTCAATTACTAAGCAAAAAGCTCAGAAAACAGTTGTTAAATAAAAGAGAACCTTTTGGGGTTAGAGAACATAGGACTCTATTCTCTTTTAAAAACAGATAGAGACTGGCTACATAGCTGATCACAAGCAATAGAAATTAATGTAACTGTATTAGCAAATCCAATGCTTTCTACATATCAGAGCATCTCTACTCTGCACAAAGCTGTTTGCAAACTACCTGTATGTTTTGTAAAGAAAAAGAGGCTATTTTTGCCAGCTTGTATTTTTTTAGTAAATGAGAAATATTACAGGATTGCACTCGTGATGTATTCATACCTCCTTCTCCAGTGTCTTCTGTTTCTTTTTCTCTTTCATAAGGAGAACATCTCTTTTAGGCTTCAGAGTCACATTAGATGGCTTTTGAAAACATGCATTAGAAAGGTTAAACTAGTAAGCAGCTAGAAAACAGTTTAACACCACAGTTAAATGCCTTCATATAGACAATACTATTAAAGAGACACGCACAAAATAAAAACCTAACCTCTCTCACACAAATAGGGAAGGCAACTGTCAGGTTAGGAGGGGTTTTATCATTGTACTTTCTGATAAGCATTACTATGAACAGACAGCTCATAATCATTGTTCCAGGAAGGAGATTAAGAAAGTTTGAGACATTAGCACCTCCATAAAAGCCAATTTAATCATTTAACCATCTGTTTACAGAATTTCATCCTACGTGAAGAGTTCTAGTAAACTAAATTAGTAAATCAGGGTTACAATTTTTTCAACTAGTTGAGCTATGTATCTTACAATAATTATGCTCACACACTGCACAAAGAACTTTCACCACTAGCTTTCTAGTTTGCCCTGTCCATATTAAAGCAGAAACAAAACCACAATAGTCTTAAAAAAAAAGCAAAAATGAAACAGCCACACTATCATTATATAGTGAGCAAGAGGCAAAAAAAACAACAGATCATAACACCAAAGACTACAAGCCATTTTAGGCCCAAGTAATCATCATGTAATTCCCAAAGATGCTGCAATTTCACTTTCCCTACTTAGTTACTAAGGAGCACAGGCATAATAACGAATTTCATAGTTTGCTCAGTTAATAGTGATTGCATAAAGGTGCTAAGTGATTTAACCGGTCACAGTGAGGTTTAGCTAGAATTTAGCAGTGCTACAGACACCACAGAGGAATCTTACTGTTGATCCGAGAGATGTGAGCCTCCTGACAGTTACAGGGGTAGGTGCACTCTTCTCATTGCTCAAATTTGTGTCACCTGCAGAAGGATGCAGAAAAGAACGATGAAGGAAGAGGGCATGCATGCACAGGGAGCGAAATTTAATCAAACTAAAAGTCAATTGCCTTTTTACACAAAAGGTAGAATGGCACCCGATTATTAGACTATCTACCTTACAACCCAATGCCAGCTGTCTTCTTACTGCAGTCAGGGAGTTCAGTATTAGCCATCCAGGCACTTGACAGATTTTAGAGAGACACTACCAGATGACAGACAGTTTTGAGAATGCGGCTTCTGCCAAATTTTACCCCCCTGCCAATCCAGATCCATGCTGTCAGTTTTCAACTGAAGGATATTTTATATACAAAACCCCTGTGAAGTTATCACTAAATTCAAGGTTCATGAGGTAGTTAAGTAATTTATTTGATCCCCAGATGTCTCCCTAATTAGGAGAAATCACATATAAAGCTTGTTTTGGAAGATTCAGTCAGACATATTTTTACAGCAGCTGTCCTCTTGAGCTGGAAGGCAGGCAGTGAGCCCCTAAAACATAAACCATTTTCCAAACAAGAGCAGAGCAGTAGCAGCATGCAAGCACTAACAATTATTCAAAGATATTATACCATTATGTTCTGTGCAACTCTTATGGCTACTTAATTTTCTGGTTCCTAAACCTGTGACACGTTTCAGAGGACAGAGAATTTTTCAGTGCATCTGAAGATTTAACGTCATAGGATTGTTGAGGCAGGGTACATGCTAGGAATGAGATTTTCAGAAACAGCAGAGAATTATAATTGTAAATGACAGATTTTCCAACTTTGCAGCAAGTAACACATGTAAATAAAATCCACTTAAAAAAAGGGGAAACAAACAAATAACTGGATTCTCAGTTCTTCACATCCCGTCATAAAGACAAAGGAAATATGTGCATGCGGTAAGGGAAAAGGTTTGTTTGTTACACTGATAATTAGGAAGTATAATTTACATAAACAATATTGCAAGGCATCTTGTTAGTGACAGCAGTGCATTAACTTCCATAAAGAAAACAAACAAACCAAAGAGTTGGAGGATCGTAATGCTAACTTGTGAAAAGGCTAAAAAATAAACTAAACAAACTTCAGACTTAACTGTGGGTTTTTTAAAAAATATTTTCCAGTTTAGATGAGATTGGATAGATGTTCTTGAATGCCAAGCTTTTCCTCCAAAGTAGCAAATTACTTAAACTTTATAAAACCAATACTTTTAAAAATTAAACAATTTTAAGGGAAACTGCAGACAAAACCAAGATGCCTACAAATTCTTCACACTATTATTATTATAGCCAGGTGGTCTCAAGCCCAATAAATGCTTATCTGCTTGCTCCAGCTTTCTGCAAAGGAGAGCAACTTCATCTTATATGAGAATGGGTGATGGTAGCAGAGGCATTCAGCTATAGCCAAAAACTCATTGTGAGAAACCTCTACATTATAAAATGCTCTCAGTAGCAGTACTTCAACTGTGACTGGTTCTGTATTTTTGCAGTTTTGTACTATGATATCAGAAGGCTATGAAACTCTTTGTCGCTGGCTTACTACATAAATATATACAAATACGTGTCGATATATGCGTATATACATAGAATCATAGACTGGTTTGGGTGGGAAAGGACCTTAAGTTCATCTAGCTCCAACCCGCTGCCTACAGTTGCTACAGTCCCTTATAACTGTGTAGGCCCCCTCCTGGTACTGGAGGGCTGCTATAAGGGTTCCCTCTTCTCCAGGCTCAACAGCCCGAATTTTCTGTCTGTCTCTGTAGCAGAGATGCTCGAGACTCTTAGCACCCTCGTGGTCCTCCTTCGGACCTGCTCCAACGGTTCCATGTACTTCTTACTCTGAGGACACCAGAACTGCACACAGGACTCAAGCGAGGTCTCATGAGAGCAGAGTAGAGGGGGAGAATCCTCTCCCTCGACCTGCTTGTCACGTGGCTGGCTGTGCAGCCCAGGACCCTGCTAGCTTCTGCGCTATGATGCGTGCGGGCACACACACGGCCCAAGCAGCTCCCCCCTCAGCGAGAAGAAAGGCAGCACTAGCACACACCAACGAAACCACAGCTCCTTTTCCCCTCTCCCAGCACCACGGCTCAGGCTCCTTCCCCGCCCGCCACCGAGCACGTACCGGAGCGCTGGCTGCTGCGCGGGATCGCAGCGCTGCGAGACGCCATGACACGCACGGCAGAACGCCTCAGCGTTCAAACGGGACAACTGACACTGCGACGCGTCCTGGACAGCCAATCACCTCCTGCTGCCTTGACTTTCTCAGCCAATCAGCGCGCCTGGCACGGAGCAGACGCCTTGCCGTTCTAGTGCGGCGCCGGGGGGCGGGGCTAGCGGCGGCTAAGCCCTGCGCATGCGCAGGCCTGCCCGCCCGGCCCGGCGGGGAGGTGATTTCGTCACGTCACGCCCGTCTCGTCCTGTTCCGTGCCGTCCCTCATGTCGGCTCCCTTCGAGGAGCGCAGCGGGGTGGTGCCCTGCGGGACGCCCTGGGGCCGCTGGTACCAGACCCTGGAGGAGGTGTTCATTGAAGTGCAGGTGCCGCCGGGCACCCGCGCCAAGGACATCTGCTGCAACCTGCAGAGCCAGCACATCGCGCTGTCCGTGCGGGGCCAGGACGTGCTTCAGGTACCGGTCCGGCGCGGAGGCTCCGCGGGGCCCCGCTGGGTGACGGGGATGAGTTGCCTCTGTGCCCCGCCCGCGTCTGTTGTATTTTCTTCTTTAAATACCCAGATTTTGATCCGTCAAAAGCGAAATGTATCAGAATAGTTTTGTCGAGCTTTTAAAGACGATCGGAAAAACAAAGCCAACAGATTCCTTGGGTTTGCCTGCCTTGGGTTGTGCTGGGGCAGCGTGTGGGTGCTGCCGAGCGCCAGTAACCCAGGTCAGCAGCAGCTTCGCTTTCCAACCAGGAGCAAGCAGCTCTTCCCGGCATGGGGCACGTACCTCATGGCACCGTAGCTATCCTTACCTTTGACGTTTTCATAGCAACTCATTACAATGGTCATTACCCTCTGAGAAGAGCCCTTCCACTGCGCTGAGGTACTGAAACAGGGACTGTGTGGTAAATGCTTCATTAAAAAGGAAAAAATTGTGTAATGAAAGCGTTTTGTTTTGTTTGTGTGTACACAAAAAATAATTGTGTAACAAAAAATAGTTCTTTGATGGTCTGCGTACAAGTCTGTGCTTACAGGGACAGACTGCACTACCCATGTTCAGTAGAAAACAAGAAGGGAAGTTGGGAGTAAAACTTGTCAATTCAGTGGGGCCTAGAAGCTGAGCAGGTTTTCCAGATTTGTAATACTGTATGTGTCTTTTGCAGGGTAAACTTTTTGACTCAACAGTAACTGATGAAGGAACATGGACATTAGGTAATAACCTCCATCTGAAGGGACATTATGAGTGCAGTAGGATGTCTCAAAATATGCTGCAGAAGTTTTACCTGTACATAGCCTTGTAAAAAACCCTACCACTATGTCCAGACCAAGGAACTGAGCTAGTACAGAAGCCTTAGAGATGCTGTGTCTGGAAGCCAGTAGTCGATGAGTTACAAACACTTCCATATAGTGGGCGTTTTTCTGCAAACACTTGTTAAAGCTGACAATTACAGTATAGTCATGCGGTCTGATAGTTACATAGTTATGCCTCTCTGTAATTGTTGCTTTTCTTGGGTCTTCTCTTATGCATTATGGTTTTCGAATAGGTGATATTATATGCATTCAAGGTTTGGGATGGGTGACAAAACCTACAGTCCAAGAGAATCGAAAACCAATCTAAAAATCTAAAGTACCTGCAGCTAATGAGAAAAAAAAAAAAGCTGCTCTAATTGTTACATCATAATTATTGTAAAGTGATCAAATTATTTTGGCTTTTGGTAATCACATTTGTGGAGTGTGCCTCTCAATCCTCTTACAATGGATTTTGTTTTCCATTCAATATTTATTCTAAATATTGATTACTAATTTAGCAACTTAAACATGAAAACTGGAAGTGTAAACAAGCATCATGAAGCCTTTTCCAGTATGTGAATAATCTTCAAAATACACTTGCTAATGCTGTATTTATTCAAAGAAGTAGAACCAGACATCCTGCGTGTAACCTTTGAAATGTACTTCCAATATGTTGTCTATAGGCGTACTGTCTGTGTTTAAATAAATTGATGAGAATTCCATATGGTGCTAAAACTATTCTGGCTTTTATTGGTATTTTCTCTGTAAAGCCTGACCTCAAGTGTTTCTTTATTGCCTTAGCTGAGGTATACATATTACTTGATTAAATCTTTTATACGTTGTGAACCTCTCTCAAAGGTTAGTTTATGTTTGCAGTAGAAGTACTGACAAACTGTGTTTTAATCCCTTAACACAGCTTCAGAATATTACAGGCCAGAAAGGGGAGAAAGGGCTGTACAGGCCATCTTTGCTTCAGCCTTTCCAGTTCTTGTTAATGTATATTTATCTACCAAGAGCCCTCTTGGTTTTAAGAATTTAAATTACTTCACAAAAAAAAATAAATCTTGTACTTTTTAATGGTAAGTTCGCCAAAACAACAACAAAACCTAGTGCGTAATACTGAGTTTAATGGTTGGTTTATGTGTGTTTTTGTTTAACAGAAGATAGGAAGCTGATACAAATTGTTCTAATGAAGACAAATCGAGATGCTGGAAATTGTTGGACGTCTCTCTTAGAAAATGAATATGCTGCTGATCCTTGGGTACAGGACCAGATGCAAAGGAAACTTACACTGGAGCGATTCCAAAAAGAGGCAAGTTAAAGGACTAGAATTACGCCTTATATTTTGCGTTTGCCCATCAGGGTCATGGCCGTGAAAGCTGGTCAAAATTGTTCTGTTGTCCAGTGCTGTGGAAGCATATATTGTAGTTCAATATATAGAGAATGCTCATGAGGCTTCTTCAGTGTACTTTCAAGAGGTTATTCTGTCTGTAGTCTGTCTGAAGGCTTTATGAAAAGTTAAGATGGGTTAGGGGATGGTGCTGCTGTTTCAGGACTGTTGCACAATACTGACGACTTTTCACTTAAATTAGGCTACACATGATTTGTTATTATATAGAATTATGACATAGCTGTGTTTACAACTGACTTCTAGCATTAAGCTATTTTGAATATGTTGGCTTATAACATTGGATAATGTAGAAGTTTTCCTTGCCCTTTTGCTAAAATTGTTTAAATTGTTTTGATACACCCTTAGCACACAGCTATTTCTGTGAGTGTCTGCAGAGTTGTAGGATTACAATTTACCACTTAACAGCTGAATCAGCACACTACACACCACAACAAGGAACACGGTATTTATGAGACTTGTTATCCAGCATGACAGGTACTTCTGTTTTCAAATTGTAATTTCAAGGGACACTAGAAGCCAGAATTTTTTCTTAAACTTTCCTTAATATTTCTTTACTGGAGACCTAACTGCTTGTCAAATTGAGAACAGCATCACAAAGTCGCTTCAGCAGAATGCAGCCAAACTGTGGCAATTCAAGGTTTATTTGCTGATGCATTTTCCAAGTATTTCAGTGCCATGTCAAACAGATGACAAGTTGATCACTGTATGTCCTTGGTACAATAGCAGAGTATTAACAGAAACAGTTTGGCGGTTTTTAAATATTTTTATTATGAATAATGCATCAATTAAACTTTTCTCTTACCTCCATCAGAACCCTGGATTTGACTTCAGCGGGGCAGAAATTTCTGGAAATTACAGCAAAGGAGGACCAGACTTTTCTAGTCTTGAAAAGTAAACTGCTTTTATCTGTGTTCCCTGAGAGAAATTTCACATTGCACATAAGGACTGGAATCGTGTAGCTGGTGAAGGCTTCAGTGATCTCTTCAATGGATTGATGTCAAGTAATTATTTCAAGTGAAGAGAAAGATCTCTTCCAATAGAATGAAGACAAAGTATTACCAGCTGATTTATAAACTGTGATAACTTTCTAATACCGAGGGACAAACTATAGAGAAAGGCATACACAAAAAGTAACATCTTGAAGCAGGTGGGTTTGGGTTTTATTTTTCTTTTTAGAAACAGCATACTAAACTGGTCAGTTATAAATATGCCACTTGTCCTTATGCAAAAATACCTTATTCACTATTGCAGAATAAAGGTTATAAGCAAGATATTTAATATTTTCTCTTAACTTGCAATGGGAAGGATATTAGGATGGCTACACTTAACACTTTCCCTCTGTAGCAGCCCTCTGAAAACTCATGTTACTCTAAAAAAGCGATTTAAGTAAAATTACTACAGCATCTTGCCGTGGATAAGATTTTAGAATCCACTGTGCTGTCAAGTACAGCACTAATGATTGGTACTTGTTACCAGGTAAAGGATACTAGAAAACTGAAAGGTCAGGTGAAACTCTGATATATAAATAATTTTATGTGTTTATATAATACAGCCTTTCAGTATAAATATTTAAGAATTTGAAAGAGAATGGGATTACTTTTGAAAGGAATAGGAGGTCCCTAAGTAGGGAACGGTATCTTGCATCTACTCATTCCCCACTTACAGCACTATGCTGCTATCTAAGAAGCTGTAAATTTTTATAGATACAGTTTTTAAACTTTATACCGCATTTTAAACTTGGCTGTTGCATCATATAGTATTTTACATGTGCCAATTACGTATCAGGAATTTTCTATGTATTGTTAAGGATGCAGCTGAGAAGCTCTCCAACCACAGCAATATGGAGCTGAGAAGCACTCTGACCACAGGATGAAGGCTGGGTAAAACAGGCTAACAGAGGAGGAATACATGATTGCCAAATCCTGTTGTAGTCTGAACACTGAAACTATTGCCTATTTTTAAGTCTTAAACAGAAGTCTCACTGGAGATAAATTGCAAGCAGCTGTGCATCATGCTGCTGAGCCTTATTTCTAAAATTGCACCATTATTTCAGTTGGCACATGCCAAAAATAAAGCAATAGTTGGGGAAGAATGATATCAATTTAATTGCATCCACTGCTTGCTTGTAAGAACAAGCAAGCATTAATAGTCCTGAAATAAAGTGTGCTCTTTCTACTCATGTCATCTTTACAGAATGTGAAGTAGGTCCATACACTGTGCTTGGGTTGTTGAGAACTTGCTGTACTATGCAAAGTAGTGCTGATTTCTGGCCATGTGTCTTTACCGTGATCCTAATATAGGAGGTGGATGG